CACACATACATATTTATCTATATTTTACTTTAGTGGAGGCATGAGATCGGATTGGTTTACTTTTAGCTTTCCTGTGCCCTAGAATTAACAATAAATAACGAAAAAAAAAGGGAAAGGAGATTCCAATGAGAGAGAGAGAGAGAGAGAGAGAGAGAGAGAGAGAGAGAGAGAGAATTCACCACAAGCAATACAGGTTTTGGGACCAGGAGTTGGAAGGGAAGCCACTACAAAGAAAGGAGGAGGCGGGCCACCCAATCCAAGGCAGGCACCAAAGGAATTCCTGAAGTAGATGAATTGAGTCAAGATGAACTTCCTCTCAAAGACACATACAACCACCTGATCAGAAAAATCATTATCTTGCACATTAACCCAGTATATGTGTTTGGCATAAACCTGTCTCGACTGCCACAAATATGTCCTAACCCACAAGATCATAACATCGACGGTAATTGGAAAGAGTAGTTATTGCAGTAATAGTTTGCAGTAGCGACGGCAGCAACAATGGATGGGGCGTGTGCTCATCATTTTATAATGGAGAAGTTTCTACTTCCAGGAACCTTTTCTTGGCTGTCCCCTAAATATTCGGAATGTTCGAGGTCCAAGCCCGAACCAGCGGCCGATTTGGTGGGGGAGGAAAGCTGCTACCTGAAGAAAGGATGCTCTTTGGAAAAGCTGTCAGAAATGCACATCACAGAGACCGGACTTGGTCATTGGGGGGATTTTCAGGAGCGCGAGGTGGCTGTTGGATGCAAAGGTTTTCAGACCGGGAGGGCGATTGGGATACCGGGAGGGCGATTGGGATAATACGCCTTGGTGATCGCATACCTGCAGTGGCCCTCAAGGAGCAGGAAAAGGAAAGAGTAGAGTAGGGTAGGGTAGAGTGTAGACTAGAGCAGGCTAGAGTAGAGTAGAATAATCGTAATTTGAAAATCATAGCTCCCTCCTTTATGGGGAGCGCATGGTTGGAGAAGCGGAACGTCGAACAGCCGCTTGAAAGAAGGGAACGTCCCTGCCACTACCGCTATGACTAAGCTTGTTATCGCCCCGCAACCGCAATGCTATGTATCACTAGTGAGGAAATGCCTTTGTCAAAGCGGCCCGTCTTTCGGAAGAACCGCGACGGAGAAGCGCTTCTTTGGATATTCTCCCGCCCAGTCCGCTCCGCCCCTCCAGCCCCCAGAAATTAACGTGGCCTTTAGTCCGGGAGCGGGGAGGGGCGGGGCGGGGAGGGGCGGGGGGGGGGAAAGCAAATTTGATCCCGATCTAGGGAGATGGGCGAACTCATCATAGACGCATCCCGGGGAACCCAGCGGAATTTACTTCGGAGTTTGCACGCTCCGGATCAAAGAGAGCCCACCCCTCGGGGGGGTTGCGGGTGGGAGAGAAAGAGAGCCAATCACATGTGCGAGATCAACCTGTTTTTTTCTAATAAGCCCGGACTGAACCGACGTCTAGATTTAACGGAGCCTCAGCCCTGGCACAATCTGGGGACGGGAGGCAGGAGGGGGAGGACCGGATCGTGATTAGAGGGGACGGGGCCCCCGCAGCGCGGGTGGATCGCGCCGGAGGCCCTTGAAGTTCTGCTCCGAGGAAATTTCCATGGAAATTTCGGTGGTCGTGGGGTTACTTTCCTCTCTGGCCCCGCTTCCCCCAAGATTTGAACCAGGTTTTACGTCGTGGATGCTCCCTCCCCGTTTCTCTTTTTAAAACCCCAAATGTTACCCCAGTTAACTGTCTGCTTTATATATCGGATTATTGTCCTTATAATACCAGTAAGATCTGGTTTCTCTGTGGTCCCCATCAGAGAACTACTGTCGACAGCAGTTCGGAGGTCCCGATTCAGGAAAACCCTATATACCGTTTGCGCAGCTTCTTACGAAAAGGCCGGAGAGGGAAACGAGGGAGGGGTGGGGAAGGGGCACATCACTCCTCCACCCTGACTCTTGGGAGCTGCGGCAACCATCTGCCTGTCTCCGGGAGAGCTAGCTCCCTTTGGAGCCGTGTCAGAATCTGCCCATAAAGGGCAAGGCGCGATTCGCCCGGCTTGGCTCGCAGCAGTCACAGAAGCGCCGGGGTGGAATTAGAGGAGGGTTGGGAGAGGCAGAGCAGCTGGGGAGCGGTCTCGCCCTTCTACTCCCTCCCTGCCCCCCCCCCAGCCCTCCGAGACTTTCCAGCGCAGAGATTTCCCGGGCATCCCCTCCCGACCCCCTTGGCTGGCTTCAGGGGTCTCTCCCTCCCTTGGCGCTACCCTTTCTCGAAGAAAGCCAGGCTGTGTGGAGCCTCCTTGCTTTGCCCCGTCATTAATGACATTAATTAATGGAATCGACTCGATTCTAAGGGAATGTCCAGTTCAAGTTTCAAGCTTCTTACTGCGGATGTTTTCAGCGGAGTGCTTGGTTCTGCGCCGTTCATTAGCGGGATCTAACCAGGAGAATCTGGTTAATTCTGGCAAGTCTGGATTTGATGACTGTAGATCCTCTTTCCTTTATAGAAAAGAAAACCGTCCACTTTGGCAAATTCCTATTGACATTATTTGTTGCTGTATATTTCAGGAGTATTTTTTTAAGAATGCATATTAGAGGAGTCATTGGAACAGACTGTGGAGAGCATTGGGGGGGGGGGGGGGGGATAGAGATTTAAGAGTTGACGAGAGCTCAGGGGGAGAGGGTTTAATCTGTTTTCTTCCAGGCTTTTGTTTAGACACCTCAGAGCAATCTCTGCAATGGAGGAATCTCTGCAGATGTTTTATATATATATGCATGCATGCTTTGGCCAGGGTAGACACCTGGCTGTTCTGTACAAACAGAACAGAAAGCTCCTTCTCCTGTTCCTATCATTTTGACAAGTCTGAATGCAGTGACACACACACACATATGGCACACACACACACACACACACACAAATCACACTGCTACAAACTCAAGCAACTGTTGCAATATAAGTCTGGCTATTCAAAGTTATCTTGTGGCACAGAAGGGCTTGTTGCTAAGGAAATGGGTACAGAGTTTCAATCAGTGGCCGAAAGTAAGCCAGGACTATCTGCAAAATGGGCACGCCAAGACACTGATCCAACAGGTTCAGCTGCAGATGTCATAAACAGTGCAATTCTAGGCAAGTTTTCTTCTTCTTCTTGGAAGTAGGCCCTGTTGAATTAGTGGGAGTTTTTCTTGAATAAAATCTAAGACTCTTATGGGTGTGAAACTCTTTTGAGCATTTCTTATGCATTTAAGAAATCCATTGGTCCATTAAACTCAACAGGGCTTCTTCCTCTGCAAGACATCTTCCTCCGGAAGATTAGGAAGTGGGTTACAGGATTATTGTTGAACATCACATTCCCCCCTCAGCAATGAATTGGTAATGCTGACCTGGTCTCTGTTTTTTAGAAGTTTCATTTTTCAAAATAATGTCAGATGTTCTACTCAAATTATGGTTTTCAAAACTCAAGATTGTGTAGTTCTATGTCTCTAAAGTATGATTTTTTAAAAAAAAGACAACACCGGTTCTGGAGCAAGAGGAAACTACTCAATGTATCCTGACAGTTGAGGATGTGGGGAAAAAGGAAAAGTCATAATTTGGTTGAAGGCCAGTTTGCTGTAGTGGTTGAGGCACCAGACTAGAAACCTGGAGACCCATAAGGCAGTTCTAGTCCCACTGATGGGTGACTTTGGGCCAGTCGAGCTATCTCTCTCTCAGCTCTAGGAAGCAGGCAATGACAAACCATTTCTGAAATCTTGCAGGAATTTCTCTAGGCAAGAACCATTAGTCAGGACTGACACAAAGGCATCATTGTTGTTGTTGTTGTTATTACACTTCGTCCCTTCATGATTAAAAAAAATAATCCTTACAAGATTTCTCAGCTGAACTAACTGGGAATGGGCAAAACGCACTTCCTGATCAAAGACAAGGACAATAAAGCCATTGTCTTAGGCCCCTAATAGTATAATTACACATACACATAAACACACACACACACAAACACACACACAAGTTTTAGAGAATGTGGACCACTGAATTCAATAGAAATGAAGTTTACTCTCTGTTAAAGGTGTGCAGATTTGCAGCCTGGCTTTCTGGATTGGAAGTATTAAGGTAATATTCTCTCATCTCCATGAATTTTTATCTAGCATTTTCCAGTGGTAAAGGATATTTTCCTCTGGGCTGTATTTATGGGTTTTCTTTAATCCTTTAAGAGGAAACAATTGTGTGCGTGGTTCCCACACCCACTAGGGTTGTCTGATATCCCTTAACCTGGATTTTCCCTCTGAACATTACAGCCTTAACACTTTGGGGACTTTCCCCTCACTATTTTTCTCCTAACCTGATCCTGCAAATAGATTTGAGCAGGATGTGAAACCTGTTAAGTACTTATTAGGGAGCACGTGCTAATGATTTGGATACCCAGAAAGCAACAATCCCAAAGGTGCTTTTTCAAGAGGCAACTGGACTTTCTGGTTTTTCTTGGAAGACCTTTCGCTTGTCATCCGAGAAGCTTCCTCTGAAGAGTTGACAAAGCTTCTCGGGTGAGAAGTGAAAAGTCTTCAAAGAAAAACCAGAAAGTCCAGTTGCCTTTTGAAACAAAGCACTTTTGGAACAACCATAACCTGGATGACTGAAAATCTCCATAGGCAGAAAGCAACAAGTTCAGAGCTAAGACACCAGTTTGACTAGAACCAGTGAATTCTATTCACCTCCTTCCCTCCTGAACATCTTGTTAAAGTCATCCTACCAAACTGTAGTAATGAAGACGCTAATATCAATGTCTATAGTAAAGGTGCTAAAGGGGGAAAATATTTAGAAGCATTTCGTTATATGACTTGCAAGGTCTGTATTTGAATTTTCTTAAAATTATCTTTTTCTGACCTAGCCAAAAATCTTTGATTTTGACCCAGAAAAGAGAAGACAAAAGTCATCTTTTTAAAAAGAAATTAACTCCACACATTGACAAATCAACACACCGTTAAACAAGATGTTTTTAATTTAATTCTAAATAAAGAGATAAGAAATAATAAATCTTCAATAAAATATATAAAATTGTACAAGGCATCCCTTTCAAAGGGATTTTCGTAGGCTAGGGATGGGTGGGTAAAAGGCCAGCACTGAACTAATAGACAAAAGATTCACAACTGTAGCAGGGCAGCTTCCTTCTCACTCTTGAGGACATGCGGAAAAAAACACACTTTGGAAACATCTGGTCTTCAGCAACCTGCCTCCTCTGTCGACACTTTACCACAAGGTTTAGCCATAGTATTAATAAAACAATTAAAACAATTGGGTTATATAGTACCATATATGCCAAGCAGAACTCTTTCCTCCCTGCCCTCCTCTGAAATAAATCAAAGAGAGGAGAGCTGTCCTGTCTTTAGAGTGGGCGGCACTACTTTGTTCTCATAGCTTTGTTTCATCCTCTGGGTTTGTGGGCGGGTGTCAAGACTCATTTAAGCATAATTCATTTTTACAAGCTAATAATGGTTAAATCACAAGATTATTGCAATAAACACAAAACAACTCTGCAACACAAAACAATTCTGGTTTCATCATCCCTCCGCACATCTGCACAACTGTATATCCTCTTTTTGTATCTCTAACCTGTTTGTTCCCAAAATCAAAATGTCGGCTGAATGCAGACTTGATTTAAATGATAATTAAATGGACATGGGCAACCGGGATCAAGACAAATCTAAAAGAGGCTTCTAGGGTTTTCCTCTGCTTGTGGCATCATATACCCTTGTACCCATCTGAACGCCGCCTTACAAACAAGACTAAACTGCAAAGGAAAACTTGGCAAAACTTGCATCTGTAGAAATCCTTTACAAGATTGAAATGGGGAAATCCCACTTCATGGGTGCCATTCTACAGGAAATATTCCAGGAGGGAATTTTATAAAGGAATGGAAAACCTACTTTGCCAGATCAGATCAACAATCCACCCAATCCATCATTTTGTATCGGAAGTATTCCAGTTCCTTGCATTTCAGTTTCCAGGGCTGTCTGGAGTACAGTGAAGGAGTCCCAAGAGAAATGCAGAAACCAACCCAGTCTCAAATCAGCTTTTATTTCTGAAGTTGGTTTCATAAGTAAAGCTTCTCTGTATGTTTAAGCTTCCTCAGTCAGTCAAAGAGTACATGTGCTTTTTCACCTCCATGCCTGCACTCACACCCCACTATGGGAATAAGTACTACTGAACAAAGTGAGATATATTCCTTCTGAATAAGCAGGCATAAGAAAGGACTGAAAGCTACTCACTTTCGAGGTGTGTGGGTGTGTGAATGATATTTCACAGGTTTACTGGGAACTTTGAGGAGGTTAATAATTAAATCATACATTTTCCTGGGAATAGTTATCAAAGTAATCCCCCTTCCCTGTGCAGTATATAAATAAACTATATTCCTTAAAGTCTGTATATTAAAAAAACAACAACCTTGCATTCAGGATCAGATTCTAGCTGGTGAGCTCACATTTGGTTGGTTCCCAAGTTGCAGAATACAGGTTCTGGGTTCAAATTCCTATATATTTGATAAGGCACATTACAAGTAGGTGAAAAATGACCAGTCAATAGTTCTGTACAGCACTTTTTAACTGAGTACACTCCATCATCCCTTTCCGGTCTTCTTACGATAAGTGATACATGCTGTAGCCCACAGGAGTAGCATAGAGTCCTACAGGTGGGATGGGAAGCACAGGTCTGTGAAAGGGATATGATGTTCCATAGAGAGAGGCGGCCTGGAGCGGCGAGTTGATAGGGAAAGGGAGGCTAAAACCAGATGGCAACATGGGCTTTGCTGCCATTTTTAACTTCTCCAGCTCTGCTTCCTGCAGTCTTTTTGCCTTGGCCCTCCGGTTCTGGAACCATATTTTGACCTGGGTCTCTGTAAGATTGAGGGAACTTGAGAATTCAGCCCGTTCAGCAATGGATAGATACTGCTTCTGACGGAATTTGCGCTCTAAAGCTAGCAGCTGGGAAGTTGTGAAAGGTGTTCGAGGCTTCCGATTGGTCTTGTGTTTTCTCAGCGTACAGGCTGTGGGGCTCAGGTGTCCTGGAAAAAAGCAAAAGAAAGATTGATTACTTGAGGAGATGAGAATTAGACGGCCAAATGCTAGGAATAGCAACTTTTCTTTTTTATTTATTTTTTTCTTATGTCCCATTGAGCATGTAAAGAGTATAAATTATTGGCGAAAATATAATGTTCCTAGCCTAATGAAGTAGGAAGATAAAAGCTGTTGTATAGGGGTGGCAACTAATCTTATTTCACAAAAAGGTACAACGTGCACACACTAATGTCAATAAGACAAAACATTCCATTTTGGAAAAGTACCTGGAGGACAGCACATGAAATAAAACAAAACAAGGACATTTGGAGGTTACGGAAGTTTTTGAAATGGAGAAGGAATTACTTGTGAAATTCTGGCTTATTATGTCCTTTTATTTCATCAGGTAAATGTCTTCAGCTTATTCTCAGCAAAATTAAATTATCAGATAAAACCTGCCCTGCCCACACATTAAATTATTACACTAAATCAAAGCAATCACCCATCCAATCCACTGTGCTTATTAATTTAGCCAATATAATCCACTTAAGTCGGAGTCTTTATCTGCAGCGTTTAAAGTCTTCTGCAACTTAAAGCAAATGAAGCACACAAGAGTTGCTTTGTCCTTAAGCGGTCTATTTAGAAACTCTCCTGGTGTGAGAGCTATTTCACACACATTATTTAGCAGCCAAATGTGAGGTTTTATCGCTAAGCGCACACTTGACAGAAGTATTTAGCCAATTGTTGCTTTCAATTTACTTTATCTATGCAAAACATGTGTTTGACACAATATCACTACCCAGTTTGAAGTGTACACTTTGCACATTCTGGTAATACCAGTAGAAAATCAATGCGAGGGGAATAATAAACAGCACTCTATATGTTTATACCAATACTTTAAATTCCTTCACTAGGAATATTAGAATTTACCAAGAAAGTTTAACATTTGTCATAAATGTCCTATTCTACTACAGGAATCCAAGGAGCGTATGTATTTCGGCAAGAAAGTCAGCGAAAGGACAAAGGTTGTGATATATACTGAGAAATATCCTACAGGTAGGCCTCGACTTCCAACAGTTCATTTAGTGACCCTTCAAAGTTACAATGGCACTGTGAAAAAAGGGACTTATGACCATTTTTCACACTTATGACCTTTGCAGCATCCCTATGGGGATTTGATGCGTTTTGCAGCATCCCCATTTTGACATTATCAAAATTCAGACTCTTGGCAACTGGTTCATATTTATGAGGTTGCAGTGTCCCCGGGACTTTTCCAACCTTTTGAGAAGCAAAGTCAACAGGGAATCTGGATTCATTTAACAACTGTGTGGCTAACTTAAGAACTGCAGTGATTAACAGCTTCGGCAAGAAAGGTTGTAAAATGATACAAAATTCACTGAATAGATGTTTCAGCCACAGAAACGGTTGTAAGTCGAGAAAGATCTGTATTTAGAAACAGGATGACTGTTACCGTACCTCAAATGCTCAATGTGACAGAACAGCCCACCATTAGCAGTATGGCAAAGCCTTGCCTGAGTTTGTCCTTCTCATATTCTGTATCTCCAATACCACATCAAGAAGGAAGGAAATCAACTTATTACATAGTCAATCACTGGCTCATTTTCCCTTCTGCAATAATTTATTCCATGCCAGATTGATTTTTTTTTTAATTTTGATTTATTAATGAAATTGATATGACTCCCCGTCTCACAGAAAGCGACCCTGGGCTGCATACAACAGTCCAATAAAACAGTAAATAAACATATGGAAGGTGAGGACATTGAAAGGTCTCCATTTGGAAGAAGAAGCACATTATGGGCTGCCCTTATGTTCGTTTTAGCAAGTCTTGGAAAAACAAGAATTTTTAATAGGTTAAAACTGAAGCAAAAGGGAAACATAATCCTAAAAGAAACTCAGCTAAGTGAGCTTGTTTTTTAAGTCTTGTAAGTGGTAGAAAACTAGATATCGCATCAGCCACTACATGCTATGATTTATCTAAGCCGAAATATTTTTGAAGTTTTGCCTACAGGCAACTAGTATCAAAGCTGATAAGTTTTTAATTTGTTTGTTCAAGTCTATGTTCACTTATATGACTTCCACTGAAATTAAGGGTTGATTGATATATACGTGATGTTTGAACAGAGTAGATTATCGCCTCTCTGCTGGAATTAATTTAGTTTCTTGTATCTTTAGGCAGCAGTGGCAGGTGAAGTGGGAGAGAGAGGTAGAGATCAAAAGGCCAATATATTGATTTAACATATAGTTTTTATGACATGTGCTAATCCTGAAAATATATATTCTGAGCAAATATGGGATTTAATCATATTTTATTACAACTCAGGGGCTTTCATGGAGAAGTTTGCAATTCTTTTCAGCATGCTCTGCATGTATCCAGAGGTTCAATAATATGAACTATTATTTTTAATTCCTTGGAAAAAGAACAACTGCCAGCAGCATCAAAACCCACACATTTCTCAGTCTTACTGCACCACATCAATCATAGTGGCTTACTTCCAACACACTTTGTGACAATCAGTCTTAAGGAAGCCCCATGTAAACTTAAGAGTGAAAACTTCTGCTCACCTTACTCAAAAGTGAGTCCCTTGTGTTCAAGTTAGGCTTGCTCCTTTATAAACATATTTCGGCTTGTAGGTTCAAGGGAAACAGTGGTGGAAGAGGCAAATTTTGGCTACCTTTATATGCCAGATTTACTTAGGTATATACTGGTTTCCAGGACGGACTCAATTTCCTAGCAAATGACACAGGCTATATTTGCAGAACCCATTAGTTGTTTAGCCAGTTTGTGGCTGAGGGGTTAGTATAAATCCAGTGACTCTTTAGAATAGTTTGGAATTTAAGAACAAAGTAAGTAGTTGTTGCAATACAGAACCAATGCTAGAAATGACATGCCATTAGTCTATAAAGGCTCTTTCTTTTTCTCTTGCCAATCTTTTTTGGGGTCTTTAGAAAGAATGTTCAGAAATACAAAATACAGTAAGATTGCCCTCCTATAAGGCACACTTATAGAGAAGCCACTCCCAATTAAATCTTTCACAGGAAAAGAAATGAAGTTATTTTCATATTTCATTTAGGATTATGTTGTAAATGTCAGCAAGATTGCTTTTACTATGAACATTTTAAAAGAACTGTTAAATTTTTGACAGTTCTCCCTAACTAAAGCAAAGCCCAAGTGGTCTGTAAACAATGATTCTCCATGTTGATGAATAGAGTTACTAAATGGAAGAACAGCTTCTTTTGTGGTTTAAGATAGTGTTAAAAATCATACATTGTTTGTAAATGAAGAAATCTTTCCAAGTCAAAGATATTATCGGAAGGCAATATTAATATGTTCTCTTTTACATGAGTTTAGGTAAGCTACGAAGAATGTGTTAAACCACTAGAGTTATTCAAACGCATAGATGACTTCAATTTAACTGGGTTTATGTTAGGAAAATATAGATTCAATTAGAGTGTTATGCCCTTATTGATAATAGAGGGGAGAAGAAGGCAAGGTATATAACTTCTGGTTGAAGCAATAAGGCACAAAGTAGCAGTTTTACTTAATGGAAGTTAATAGCTAAGGTTCCAAATGGCATTCCATTTGTTTTCAAAATATGACATGCGTTATAAAAATTATAATCTCTGTAATCTCTATAATTTTTAAATTATCTTCTAAAGTAGCTTGCCATCTGTCAGATGATCTCATTCCATTTATTGCCACAGTTCATCACCATAGTACAACTATTAAAAAAAGAGTTTTATTACTATTTACAAAATATATATTGAGCAGCAGCTGGAAGTTATCCCTTGCAATTTTATTAGATACATTTCCTTCCAAGCATTCTAATTTTTTAATATTTTTTTCTCCTTATGCCACAGGTGACTTTTAGTTTATTTTGCTATTTAATGAGAATGAATCTTCTCCAGATAGGTTTTTTTCCCCTCTTCAGGAGCAACATGAATAAATCTGCAAATTAATGGGCCCGAATACTGCATGAAGACTTTAAGATACAATCCATGGGAGCAAATTCTACTGAAGTTAATAAAAGTTACTTTTTAATTATACAGAGGTAAAATTACTTGTCAAAATAATTCAGTAAAGGGGGACAGAATCTCAACAATGAGTATTCCTCCTTTTGGTAAGTGATACTGCTTTATGATTTTTTCCTGTTCTACTTTCTTCCAGTTGAAAACACATATAGGTCATACTGGTATCTGGTGCAATTTTAATTTCCAGGTTTTAAAAAATGATTTAAGATGAGTTTGGGACTATTGTAAAAGTTTTCTTAAGTCATCAGATCTAAGATCCCAAGGCCCCACAAATCTGAATTCACTCCATAGAAAAAGAAATAAGCAGAAATGCCAGTGTATGCTTTTCAGAAGTTATTTTACTTTGCTTTATTTTTTTCCCCATTTTTTTTTTTCATATTTGCTTAGGCAGACCTTCTAAATTGTGCTGCAAGTTAGATTTAGACTGTTTTGGAGTTGTTTTAATCATGTGAAGTGAATGATCAGTGTGCAATACTATCCAGATTTATTCAGGAGTTAAGTCTGAGTGAATATGATCAGGCAATAGAACCAAATAGGAAGAAGAGGCACAATCTTTGATTGCTTTCGGGATGATTTTACACAAAGGTGTATGGAAAACAAAGAGATGACAATAGGTTACCTTAGTTTCTGTGTTTTCCCCTCCAAACAAGGTTTCCTTTTATACTCTATAGTGATGCTTTTTTAAAAAAGTGTACTTTGATCCTAAGCCTACCTAACTAGAAAGTATGTTCCATTAAAATGAACTCAGATGTGGCACAAGTTTTCATGGGCCAGACTGCATCCTTTGTCATATGTAAGCCCAAAACAGCACTAAGGGCCATACAAATATATAATAATGGAACACAAAGAGGACACTGCAGTTAATTTGTTTGCACTGACTAATTTCCTTTAACCAAGACAACTGCAAATAAAATAAGCTGTTTTTCCATCTTCTCCAATGAATCAGAAGAGGTTGGTATAAGGGGGAAATAAGTATCTTTTGGGGAACTGTTTTTTTTTAAAAAAAAAAAAACTTGGGTTCAAAAATATAGAAGATGAGGGGTCCTTCCTTCCTTCCTTCCACCAAATAGCAAGCTGATTTTTGGAGAGGGGGGAACTCGGTTTAGAGAGAGTGCTTAAAAATATATACATTTCAAAACCTGCCTGCGATGAGTAAGATATGTGTCCCAGGATGGCAACAACGCTCCTGGAGACCAAAAAAAGAGAGAAGAGATTATTGCTGAACCGCCTAGCAGGGCCAATGTCGACATTCCCTTTCCGACCCGGCGGAATTGGAGTGAATCATTCGCGCCGGTCCAGGCTAAGCGGATCGGGAAGTTCCCGACGGATTATAAAAGAGCAAGATGATCCCTTCGTCCTCATCCCGAGTTCTTTGGTTGCCGGGCCTTTACTCTTGCCGTTGGGACGACGGAGTAGCAGGCCTTTAGCGAAAGCCTGGAAGGCCGGCTGTTGTTGCTACAGGTGCACCGAAGAAGGCACCGGAGGGCGCTGAGCGCAAGGATCGTCCTGCGCCCCGCTAGAAATAAAGCCGCGATTTTGGCGGCGGCGAAGGAAGGAGCAGTTAAGAAACGGGAAGGGAGGGGGGAGCCACGGAACTAAGCGAATTAAGCAGAGAAACAGACTTTTCGTGGGGGGGGGGGGGGGGAAGGGGCGGAAGGAGGTAGGGCGGCAGGGCTTATCGAGGTCTAAGTAAGACAGCGAAAGCAACTCCCTTCTGGTCCAGAAAGGCAGAAGCTAAAAAAAATATCCGGTTAAGGTTGGATCCGGATGGTCGTGAAGACTCAGAGATAGAGAAAGAGAGAGAGAGAAAAGAGAGAGAGA